GACACCAACCCACACGAGCTATGGTTCTGAGACAACGATTGTCGAACACCTGAAGACGTCTCAGTTCCGCTGCTCGAATAGGCCAAGTCTCACAGCCATACAACAAAACAGCCCGTACTGTAGCTTGATACACACGTCCCTTCAGATTCAGGGATAAACCATTCCGACCCCATAGGTGTCTCAAATTGGCAAACGCGGCTCGAGCCTTGCAGATTCGTGCATTCACCTCATCTGTCACACTACAATCAGAACTAATACAACTTCCAAGATACGTAAAACGCTCCACAACTTCCAGTGCCTCTCTCTGTATTGTAAGTGGCGTGTTCAGTGACTGCACGTCCACAAGCATGACCTTACACTTTGTAGGTGCAAAGTGCATACCAAAGGACGGTATGACTTTGAACAGTTTATCCAAGAATACCTAGCAACTGTTGCGTTTGAGCCATTCGGACCGACAACCCTTTGTTCATAGCCAATATTCCAAGGTTTATGCTCCTATGTTCATTTCACAAATCAGTTACTCGCTTTCTTGTTTGTCTCTTAGCAGAGCCTGACCTTCACTATCTCATCCTACACCTTTTCAGTCCAATAGCCAGCCTACAGGTCGAAACACGTTGTATCAGATGACTCAACCGAACCGTCGTGTAAGCGGCAATCTGTCAGGCACAAAAACAAACTGGATGTATGTGGACGCTGAGAATTTATTCCACCCTTCGGTCAGTGTGGCTCCGACCACAACCACCTACACAACCGGGCTGTTCAAATCGATCGATCAAAATCCATACGGAGAGAGGCCACCAACAGACTGGAATATACCATTTGCAGAATATGTCGGACAACAGGTATGCCCAACTTTCTCTACTAACTCTGACTTACATTCAAACAAAATCCGAGTAGCCTATTTTCGAAATCGATGAAAGGAGACTGGACTCTGTTGAATTCTATTGAAGTAATCCTTCAACATCAATGCGATATTTAACATGCGTCCATTAAAGATACCGTGGCTAGGCATTAAAACTGAAACGCGATTGGTGGGTTTTGAGGAGTGGTGTAATTCGTGTACCACAGCAAAACAGCACGGAAGCTGCAGATATGGCACCAAGTTACATCCATCTTAGCTCACCTGGTGAACTCCAGAAAGAGCGATAGCAAGCGAGCGATTTCACGATTCGAATACACTTGTGCTGAAAAACAACTGGTTGTATCCGAACACAAGGCCTGATGATTAGCTATATCGGAAAATTCTAACTATCATCAGTACTCTCACTAAATCAACATCTGGAGTTATGTATCCATCCATAAATCAAGTTGGCTTCAGTGGGCTATCAGGTAAGTCTTTCATCCGTAAGTACACTCATTTGCAAACCAATTTGGTTTTGCAGGAGACTAACCTGGAACCCCTGCTTAATCTCTCGTTTATGATACTTTTAAGCAACCTTATGAGTAGTGTAGTACGTCCGTACGTGTATCACGATATCTCGATTATCGTACCAACGGAAACATTAGACGATCTGGTGTAGCGCAAGAACATCATGAACTAGAGATCCAGCTGCGTTCCAGTTGAGTCTCCCGCAAAACCAAATTGGTTTGCAAATGAGTGTGTTTTGCCAATTTCGTGCAATTTGAGTTCAAGTGCAACAAGGTTGACGGAAACTCGGGGACTGCCTATCTGATGAGCCACAAGAAAGACAAAACCGGTCTTGGGCTGCCAAAGGGTTTTCAGCAACCTTATGGGTAGTATGTCAACTCCCATTGGTACTTATATTGAGGCTAATGTGAAGCACAGTGACAACCCTTTGCTTCCAACAGGCACTTATTCGAGATATTGTAGTATACTGTTCTGGTATAACATTTGACTAGTAATGCGGTTGATGAAAACCTATCACAGTCCATGTTCCATTCTTGGGGTCAACCAGGCAGATCTCGTCTCTCATTTTCTAGTCGAACGCCTGTTTTTACATAAGTGGTGTTATGACCGTTTCTACGTCCCCAATATACAAACTGAGTAGCACTCACTTCGTTTAAGGCGGCAATATTAAATAGAACGGATGAGATGTCTGGCGGGGGGAGCAAGTGCAAACAGAACAACGGGGTTGAAACGAAGGAAGTTCCACGCGTTCCTCCAAGTTAGATGTGGTCGAAGATGGGTCAAAGATTGAAAGCCAAACATCTGGTGCGATATGGGACAAAGGCAGGCATGGACGCAAGTGGTTGTCTCTGGACAAACAAAAAAACGTTAGGAAACAGGATTTAACCTGAAAATAGCTGAACGGTGTGGATGGCCAGTATGTCAAAGCAGACCTGAATTGAACCAGCATGGGTACACACTGACCTTCAACGCAGTTTGAATGACAAAATCCGGTTAACTCCAAGTTAATGTGCTTACCTCCATTCCGTACTCAATTTGAAAATAAGGATAATGGAAACTGGGGAACTACGACTGCCTGGTGAGTCCCAAGAAAGGCGAAACCCATCGTGGGCCTCCCAGTAGTTTTACTCGACTCTATATAAGCGTTGCTGGGTCGAGAAGTCGACTGTTGGTGCACATCTAGCGACATACATTACATGCTTATTTATTTATCTCCAGAGTCTGGCATGTGTGCATGAAAATCAGTAGAATAGAAATTTGAGGGAAGAGTGTGTTTAACACTGGTTGGTTGGTTAGAGCCCATTGGAGACCACTAAACGGTAGCATTTTGTGAAGGAAGATAGGTTGAAAGGTGGACCACCGGCTAACACATCCTCGTCGAGGACCTTGAAAATCGCAGGTGTCCACCTGACTACTCACAAGTAGCTAGGTGAATAGCAAATTCTATCAAATCCCACCAAGTTCTTCACACAATCTCAAAAGTTGTCCATGTTCGCGATCTCGAGTTTGAACAGGACGCGAGTATTCATCCTACCACTCTTGTCTGTCTCTCTCCTCTTCCGTATCCTACCTGTTACCTGTGGTAGTTCCCCCAGATCTACCATGATTTTGATGAGCCTAATCTCCAACCGATTTGATGAGCGATTGAAAGTGCCATTTTTTCTTTAGTCGGTATCGCCTCTATGAATGAATATTTCGTCCGGAATAATGGGTTTCTGAACAACAATGTTTGACCACCCCTTCCTCACTCCGTACTTTCTTTCCTGGTCGATGCGATAAAGGAAACTACTCACAGGGTTGCTGAAAACTCTTCGACAGCCCACGACCGGTTTTTCCCTTCTTAAGACTCATCAGGTAGGCTCACTCCCCGAGTTTCCGTCAACCTTATGTCCTACTTGGACCCAAATGGGACTGTTTTCGAAAAATACACCCATTTGCAAATCACTTTGGTTTTCACGAGAGACTCAACTGAATCTCTCGTTTACGATATTCTTCAACTGAATGTGCTGCACACAGGCCGCCTCATGTTTCAGTTGGCGCGATATAATAAATGTTCCTTATGAGTAGTCAGATAACGATGAAAAGTACCTCTGGTCACCGTTGATTCTCAGGAGGAATCAACATATTCCTTGCGTCTGATTGGTGATTATTTGGAAAGGGAATCGGTCACAACCTTGGAGAACTCAGTTTAGAACAAATAGAACTGAAACACCAATCCCACGATAACTGGTTGATGGACTTCTAGAGCCAAATACGTTGAACAGCTAAAAGCAGGGACGAACAGTCGTCTGGAACTAATCTCCATCTAGACTGTCGCTGGAATTGTTGAAGGTTTGTCAAGTGTACCGAGTAAGGGTGAGCGTTTCGACAGACCGTGAGAAAAATTTGCACATAAATAGTATGACGTGTGAAGGAGGATACCTACATCATAAAACGCGGGTGCCGACTGATGAGTGCAATGGATGAAAAGAATCACTGACAATTTGAGTGGGATAGGTAAGCAAAACGACTTATGAGATTGTGTGTGGCAATATGCCATGCCATGAACACAAGCGAACGCGTGAAGGTGTGCACATCGGACCTGTGCACGCCTGCAGTGAGTCCAAGGGAAATCTTCTGGAGTGCTGTCAAGTCACTGTGAAGACAGGAATGAATCTAAACGATGAGTTTAGCGTTAGGGATAATCCCGATGGAGTTCTCCCACATGAGTGGAGCATGTAGTTTCTGGAACTCGTCACACAGGGCGTCCAAGTTGGTATACCGGAAGATGTATATACATCCGGAAGGTCCACCGTGCTGTTGCATTATTTAAACTCACACGTTTGTTTTTAGAGTCAAAACACAGACTAGTGGAATAGGATGTTGTAATCCGACGCTCCGGTTGCCGTAGGTAACCTTTCCTAGGGATTTATACAATCAATTGAATACGAGCCAAGTGCAGCGTCATTTGGGTCCACTATCTTGTCTTCAGGTTGGTGTGTTCCTGCGATCACTTGGCAGTCAGATGCGACCGGCATGTGCGAATGTGTGTTAGCTCTGTGTGCGTACTTTTACAAGGAAGTGCCTCTCTTTGCTGTTGTTCTGACTGTGATGCGTCCTTGTTGAGACACTTGCCTGAAATCTAGCTACTATGCCTACTAAAGTAGCAGTAATTCCGCGCCAGACAGACGGGATGCTGGCGCCATCACTACGGTTGATGTAGTTTGGTCGGATGTTGATCTCCAGAGCCTCAGTGCATTTCGGTCCCGCGCGTAACTTGAATCCTGACTGCAGTAAACGCGTACCATTGATTTGATGGCTTGACTCAAGTGCGTCGAGTGCAATGGCTGAGTCGCGTTCAAGTTTTTTTTCTTTCAAAAAATAAACTCTACTGGGGTTTCTTGAAGGAAAACGATTTGTTCGTTTTGTTCGTCTGTCCCCAACTCCACGGTGTCGAAACCACCAGCTCACACTATCCTTTTGCTGTTGTTCTGACTGTGATGCGTCCTTGTTGAGACACTTGCCTGAAATCTAGCTACTATGCCTACTAAAGTAGCAGTAATTCCGCGCCAGACAGACGGGATACTGGCGCCATCACTACGGTTGATGTAGTTTGGTCGGATGTTGATCTCCAGAGCCTCAGTGCACTTCGGTCCCGCGCGTAACTTGAATCCTGACTGCAGTAAACGCGTACCATTGATTTGATGGCTTGACTCAAGTGCGTCGAGTGCAATGGCTGAGTCGCGTTCAAGTTTTTTTTCTTTCAAAAAATAAACTCTACTGGGTTTCTTGGAGGAAAACGATTTGTTCGTTTTGTTCGTCTGTCCCCAACTCCACGGTGTCGAAACCACCAGCTCACCCTATCCTGCCAAGCTACAACACACACACACACACACACACACAACCAATCACATTTCTCCCAAAACAGACAAGCGAGCGCATGTACGCTCAGGTCGATTAGACTCGCCTAATATAACCGTTCTTCACTGTTCGCGCTGACTCATCGCCCAATTCGATCTCTTGTAGCGCTGTCGATTAGACCTGGCGGCCCAACCAGTCTTGCTTCTCGAGTGGAAATTGGGTAACAGCTCTAATTCAGACAGTTGCAGCCACGTCTGATTCTATCCATAACAGTGAACTGAGAACCTGATCCAGTGGTGCAGGAATTAATATTTTGGTGATGAGTTCAACTGATTATTCGTCTGGGATTTTACAGTCTTCAGTGACGAAAGCGTGGACATTTAAAGGACGTTAATTTCAGCGATTACCTTCGCGGAGATGCTCGCTGCGGCTGTTTGCTGAAAACGTGTGGTAAGGGTTAGGGAATGATTCCACCGCTTAGGTGAGCTCCCCTTTGAGTAAGCAGACAACTGGCTTGCTGCATGGGTGTGCTGCACTTGATGAAGAGTGGATTCTTCGTCCGGTGTCTGTCGTGTGTGTACTCAACCTGGACATCTTTCGGCACACGTAAAATGAGTGTGCGAGCGTGGCATG